TTTCCCTAAATTCCCCACAAGCTCTTGCAGCCCTCAGAGCAACAGGTAACTAATCAGAAAGCCACATCTGGCTGCCCTGTATATTTTTGACGTCCGGCATCGCGGGAACATACCTGCTGAGATCCACTGACTCATGAAGCATTTCTCTGGCTGAGCGTTCCTGAGTAGATGTAATGAAGCAGCTTTGCCTTACGCTTCACTCATGAGCCATCGTCCACTGCGAGTTTCCGAAGCAGGCCTACTTCATTTATTCATGAATTATCATCGGACGTCTGATGGAAATAAACCCTGTGGGCTTTTGCTGGCTTTCAGCGCTGTTGCTTATACATCACGTCAGTACATTATGATGCAACTTTTTCTTTCTTTCTTTTGGTTGAGACTGCAACAATATCCCAAAGGGGCGATTACCTCCAGCCTAGGATGCTTGGGGGAAATCCTAGATTGCCTTTCACTTTAGTAGTTTGACTGGTCACAGGCCAAAGCTTTGCTGTCCTTCCTAGTACCTTAGCTCCAAGCCGGCTGTGAGCGCACCGTCTCCCAGGTTACGCCGGGCGGCTGGGGGACCTGGTCCTTGAGTCTCTCTGTGGTAGTGATAGCTTTGTACTTGAAGGAGCCGTGGTTTCTGTCCCGTATCAGTTATCTTTACAATACCTGCGAAGACGGCTCCGCCTGTCTCGTGTGATGAAAGGAGTAAGCGCATCATGATGGGATGTGTTTTTAGACGTTTTTAGGTTCACTTCTCTTAGCACCGGATGAGTCTTACAGTTCCTTAAGAGAACCAAAGATCAGTGACCCTCAGCTGAGTTTCTATAACATAATACAACAAAAGTTGCCGAACATTTGTATTCTGTGTTCTATAGATATGGTGATCATGGGTACTGGATTTTTCAAGAATAATTCCAATCCATAATTCTGGTTTATATCTACCAAGTTCACATACTGAAAAACATACTTACAACCCAGATAATCTCAAAGAAGCCAGGTCAATCCCTTGATTTTGGTTTTGGCTTATAAAATAGAATTTTTTCCCCTCCACCAAATTTTTAAATTGTTTTTTTATATCATGCGAATACAACATTTGTAAGGCGCAGTAACAGGTGAATAGAAAACATCAACTTTTTTTTCAAAGAACGACGAGCAGGAATAGTTATCACAAAAGGAACACATAGCACATTTTAGAAATACAAATAAGCAAGGAAAATCACCTAGAGACATTAACTGTTAAACCTTTATTGTGTATCCTTCTTGTGGTAGATAAATTTTTAGTTACCCTGTGCCTCTCAGTGATTATTCATATCTTGACTGACTTAGACAAGGCCACTGACAACTTTCTGCAACGGTTTGAAACACTGATTTGAAACATCTATTTCTTAGAATTGTTAACAAATCATATCAGATGCTGTTCCAAATCACCTCAGTCAGAGAATTGTTTTCTGTTTCTTTGGAGGCAATGTAACATTCAAATGTATTTTATCCGATTGACATTCGATATAAAACAAAACAAGGAATTAAGCACCCCTGCCTTATCCTAGTAAGCTACCCTCAAGTAACATTAAACCCCACTTAGGATTGTGATAGGGCAGACTGCAAAAGTTTCTCAATTTCATCTCAACTTTCAGAGGTAAGTCAGCCTCAACAACACGGCTTGCAGATTACACATTGGAGGAGGCTAAAAATCTTTGATTTCCTTGATTCTTAGGCCCGTTCTTTTCATGTTTCAAATCTGTGTTGAAAATTGATGAGTATACTTTACGTGGACGTATTTTTTTCTCTAAAACATTGTAGTAAAATCGACATAGAGTCAGAATGACATTAGAATGGAGAAAATAGAAAAGTTTCCAACAACATTTATCTTTCATCTTTCAACGACATATTTCAACAAATGCCATGGTAATTTTCCCAATGGGTGTTTTTTAGCAAGTCTTTTGAGAAAAGAGAAAGTAAGAACTGAAATTTGTTTTGTTTTGTTTTTTTGTTAGCCTGAGATATAATTGAGGCAGGGGAGTGGAGAGGCGGAGTCAGACGAACCTGGCTTGAAACCCTTGCTCTGCCATGTACTAACTATGTAATTTGGGGCAGGCTGCCTAAGTCTTATAAATCTCAGGTTCTACATTTACAAGTTGGAGACAACAGTGGTGTGAGAACTAAGGAAAGTAACAACGAAGTGACCTCTCCAGCTACTGGAACATAAGTGTTCTCTTCCCCTTTGTCCCCTAATTTCTTTAATGGCTTTCTGTTAAAAAATGCCTACGCCATTTAAATCATTTTGATATCATTTTATAATGCTAGGACACTGTGAAAACTTCATCTTGAAACCGAGAACTAAATTCTCCTCTTTAGCCTAGAAAACGTATCTGAGAATTGCGATGTCTCGTTGCGGACAGTCGTAGAAACCAACGCCATCTCTGTGCGTGGCTGAGCGTCTCTCCCTAACTTAGAGGCGTGTGAGGCTATCGCCAGTTTTATAGCAGGGTATTTACATGGTGTACCTTCAAAACCTTATGAAAACTTAGTTGACTTTTTAATCAGAAAGAAACTACAAAAACAAATGTGACCATTTTAACTAAAAGAAAAATATTTAAGTTTATACCCATCGCGACCAACCAATGACAGATTCTTCGCTGTGAAACTATAAAACATTTCTGGTTTATAATTCATTTTCCTTTTATTTCATCTCAATGATGAACTTCTATTTTTAAAGCTTTCCTGTTCACTCTTCAAAACTTGCGAATGGATATCTTTGTGTTTATACTGTCAGACTTTGAGTTAAGAATTCTTCCAATGCTAGAAGTCTTCAGTGTTGGAGACACTGTTGCATATTTGTGAATGAGCCCTGTACTAGTGCAGGAATACAGCGTGGTGTTTGAAGTAGCATGCACATCTGCGGTAATTCAGCCCCCAGGTCTGCACACGTGCAGATAGATACATTGCATGCCCGGAAATAAAGGTGGCATCAGTGCATGCCTTGCATTTCTCCAGCCAAAGAGCTGTTAGTATAGATTATTGCATGTTTAAAAATTGAACACAAAATATGGCATGTTTCAATTTTTAAAAAGCCATTTATTTATTTATTTATTTATCAAGTATGCATGTCCAAAATTAGGGACCTTATAATGATGCACAGTTTTGTACTGTACTATCCAAATTACCTGAAAATTTAATAATCCATGGTATATTAAAAAATTTTAAGCTGAATAATGCCTGGATCTAATTACGAACATAGCATCGTATTCTAAGTGTACCTGTTAAGAAAGGAGGATTTAACCATTTGGAAGCTATACTGCCCAATCAAGCTGGGCTTGCTGAATTTAGTAAATCAACCAGACAAGCACATTTTCAAACATTATAATTCTTTTTGGTATTAATGATGATAAAACGATAAAGCTTTTTTTTTTCTGGAAGAGCACCTTTGCTTTGAAGAGATTATATCAACTTTGCAGAATACTGAGAAACGGTTCTGCATGAAGGTGGTAAATATACTCGTTTTCTTAAATTGCCGTCACAGTACACGTGCCATTCCACTGAATCCCAACCTGCATAATATGGCCATGACTTATGACTGGTTTCTCAGAATGTTTTCTTCCCGCTCGAGGGTTATCAAGAAAGTAAAGCAGCGTTTGTTCTAAAATAAAATTTAAACTTACTGGTGTAACTTAAGATAATGAGACAGACCTTAACTCTTATTAGAGAATCAGAAAACTCGATTTGGGAATTATTGACCCAAACAAATCAGACTTTTTCTCGTCATGCTGTTGAAGTAGAGTATATGTGGCCTGAGACACTGCTGCTTCTATATGGCTAAAATCACCCCCTCACACCCATTTTTTGGAAAACAAGTTATATGTCATGCAGGACTACGAACTACCTGTGACTTTCGCGTGAGCGCTGACTTCAGCATTTAGACCCTAACGTCCCCCTCGCATCATTCTGATACTAAGGCAATGTCTTCATTACTTGTCAGTTAAAAGAAAATTTTTTGTAGCTTACAGCCGCTTCCCTGCTACCCCCTCTGTATCAGGTGCCGTTATTAAAAAACCAAGGCAAATTTTGATATTTAAAAAATATAGACCGGAAGTGACAACTAACACACAATTTGCTGGAAAGAACTTCCCATGACTCTATTTATTAAACGATTTCATTTAAATTTGTTTACGACATGTTTGATAACTAGAACAGAGTACTTTATATTTATTTGCGCCCCAGTGCTGTCCATTGGGGATCACCAGGGGGCGTGACCTGAACATCTTTTAAAGCTACAGTGTGGAACAGGAAGAAAGGAAGGACTTAGGGAAGCCAAACAGACTCCACGATACATGAGCGAAACCGCAGAGTCGTGCAGGTGTATGATGAGGTTCAAGGCATCTAAAAGTCTTGAGTCTGTGAGCAAAGCAGTTCATTCCCTAGGTCTAGCAAATCTAAATAAATGCGTGTCCAGTTTCCCTAACTTGAATCCTATGGAATTATAGGGCTTTCATGGTGGTCTTAAAAAGGAAGTCATCTGAACAATGACCCTTTTTTCTAAGATGAGTGTGTTATTGTCACACTTACCACAGTAAGTTTCGGTTTTGCTTTGCGTTCAGAGCACATGATGATAGAGTGAGGTTTCAGAAAGGGTCTAGTCTTCCTCTTCCGAGAGTTTCCCCAGCAGTTAAACAGGAGTTTCTCTTGCCGTCAATCCTCAAAATGGTCTTTGTCTTGGGTTGTTTTTTTTTTTTTCCCGCTTCCGAGGGGATAGTAACGTCCTTTTCTCGATGTCGTCCCCGTTTCACTAGGTAGTTATCATCTGGTATTTTGTTTCTCTTCCAGAGTGAAAGAATTGAAAAAGGCCAAGGAACTTGAAGACATACAGCGGCATCCCTTAGCAATGTGACATTGCTTCTCAGACTGTTTTCATTTCTGTTTTTAGCAGAGACATGCAACAACACACGCACGCACACGCGCACACACACACACACACACACACACACACACACACAATCCCTCTGCAGTTTTGGGGAGATCAGCTGCAGGATTTTAACAGGAATGTTTGGGTCATTGCATTTTGCACCTCCATGGACAACTTTTAATTTAATCAGCAAGACAGACATCTTGGAACTCAGTCTTCTGTTGGATCACGGGAAAACAAGACACCACGAGGAAGTGAAAGAGGCTTCCTCTTCTGGGGAAGAAGCCGTTTTCCTTCTCACATAGGGCTGTATTCAAACATCGTGTGGAACTGTACAATTATTATACCAAAAATATAGATGAGAAAAGGTGGGGATGCACTAGCAACAAAAGAGGATCGTTCCTGCGCCTGTCAGTTATTTCCAAGAAGCTGAATCTTTGGGATTCGTTCTCAGTGGAGGGCTTAGATCATACAAAACTTGACTGGGTCCGTGTGTTCTCATTTCCTTCACGGTTTTTATTTTATTGAGTTTGTTTTTCTGTTTTAATCTCTACAGCACACTTAATGCAACTTTTAAAATCTGCAGGTTTTTCATGTGGAAATTTGCAGAGGGGCAGGTGTGTGGTAAACGGGTAACGCATGGGAAATAATGAGAAACAGCTTACAGAGTTTAAATTTATTTTCTTGTCCCCGCCACCTCCCAAGAGCCTGTGGGTAATCGTTTTGTCCCGTTTCTCATGTTCAGCACTTTAATTTTTTGGCCTTACTTTCATGTGCAATGAGAATTCGAGAATTGGAAAAGCATGTAGCTTTTTTTAGTAACCTTGGAAACTGTAGTCATTCTAAGGAATCATGAACCTTGCCTGGACATTTGCCACCTAAAAGATCAGCGTGGTGCTGCGTTCTGGCCAGTAAATTCCATATTTTTGGCTATATTTCATCCAAACCGAGCAGTTTCTGTGTATATAGAGAAGGTAGAAATGGAAAGTGAGAAAATATTTGAAAGGGATTATATTAATTGCTAAATATTTTATTCACAAAGGTCAATAACATGGCAAGATAAAATTATTTGTATAGTTTTGTCTGAATGAGCAAGAAAATGTGGATGTATTGTTTGTATATATTGTATATATTAAAACAAAGAGATATGTGCATGAAATCAAGAAAAAAGAAATGAACAAAAGCAAAGCATTAGTGGCTATGGTCTGTAAAATGAAACAAAAAAAAACTTTATTTCACTATAAGAGTACTTTATTTTAAATGTTCTTTAGAAGAACATTTTGCTAAAGCATGACTAAACTGCAAAAAATAAAAATTAAAAAAAGAGCTACTGTATTTAGACTTAGGAAAAAAAGGCAGAGTAACATTACTTAAAAAAAGGATATGTTTACATTTAATTTTGGCTACCAGGAGTTTATTTTATTTTATTTATAATTTCTTTGCCAATGGTGCCAAGTAATGTGAATGCTAATATTGCTTAAGAAAATTAAGTTACTTTTGCTAAACAGATAATCATAAGATGAATCAGTATACAGCTTAAAACACCATCCACTCGCTCCAACGAAGAACACTCTGAAGGATCAAAACCTGACAAAAGAAATAGTGTGAAAGGTAGGAAAAAATGTCTCACGTTTTCATATCTCCTGCTGGAAATCAGAAAATGTAATAAAAATGACACAAAGAATAACTAAAAATTTAAGAGATGCAAACCGGTCTTGTAGGGATGTGATGGTATATTACTATTTCCACATAATGAGGAGCCAAAGAAATCTGATGCTTTTAAAAATTAAACTACTCATGTAAATCGAGAGAATAAAGTTCGCATTCGCTGATGCCAGTTTAAAATTCCCAGGTTCAGTTTCAGGATCGGTTGGCGGAAAGCGGAAATAATAGTTTTTTCTTGGTTCTGGCTGCCAACTGTAAGTTAAAACTCAAGGCTTGTTGTGAAGCCTAAAAATATTCACAAATAAGCTTTTAAACTGGTGTCTTTAGAAGGAAAGTAGATACTAAAAGATTGTGGTAAAAACTGGGGTCAGTGCTCTTGGTGCCTTTTCTATAATTGTACTTGTTTTTTAATTACTTCCTTTCACTGCCAACCTCAAATTACTGTACAGTATATGTCTTACTGCTTGTGATCAGCTTTGACGACAGCGACAGCCCCACAGCTAGTAGCCACCTGTACATTTGTAAACTGAGCTGACTCACTTTTGTTTTTAAATGTGTGGGTTATGTTGCAGCTGTTGAAGTCTCCCAAATACCTATTATTTGACACAATTGACCTGTAGGAGGACACTGAGTAATTTACAAACACACAATTGCATTCATAAGTGGGAACAGAATGTGAAAGCCAGCTCTCTCGGAATGTCCTGTGTTAATACTGAGTTTAGGTATGTTTACGCCATTAATTCTGGTACAAATAACTGAGCTTTTGACAAGAGTAATGACCTCAGTGGATTTGCTTTAATCCTCACATTTGTTTCGTTTTCTTAATGTTTCACATGCCACATTATTAGCTGAGTAAGTTAGAAATTTCTGGAAGATACATAGAATTAGGAGGGTTCTTATGGAGGAGGTAGGAAGTAGGTTCAAAACCTAGCAGTGTAACCTACCAGTGCAACTGTGAATCCTAGGTGAGGTACACATACACTCCCACTGAAACGAAGCATTTCTGACCGCTTTTTCTTGGTTGTGAATCTTAAGTTTTTGAATATAAGATGATAGGTAAGCGCAGCTTTCTTGGATAATCTGAATTCCCAAGTGCCAGGAGTAGGATTTCATTATAAAATTAATAGCTAATCTTATTCTGTCTCCTGAAGATTTAATTGCTATTCTTGTTACCCATTTGAAATCAGCTGTACTGTGTGAACGAAATAAAGACACTAACTCGAACCCCTCTCTGGCTGCACGGTCGCTTATGGCAGTTCCACACAGTAGTTGGCGCCCAACGGGGGGTCCCTGAGACTTGCATGTAAAACTAGTCTAGATGTCTTCTTTTTTGTAAGTTTTATTTTTGTAATTGTGCATGTAAAGCATCATTGAATCAATGGGTCTGTTGAAGAACTCAGCTGCTGGAAACCATGCAAAATGTTTTGAATTGCCCTTAAAATATGGAAAATGTTTTCTGAATGCTTTATATTCTTTCTGCTGTAAATTAAAAATGAAGAAAATTTCCCCATGTTATGTGTGTGTGTTGCCTTAACTTCACCTGCTACTAAAATCCCAGGTGATCGGCATGTTTCAAACCGTAGGAAATAGTTTCAAGTATGTCCTTAGATCCAGATACAACATTTTGACATTGAATGTGACATACGTAGTTTCAGGTGTGTCCGTGAAGGAAAAAATTTCTTAGTAGAGCCGCTTGCTTTTTCCTAGAACACTTGCTTTTCAACTATCTTCTCAGGCACCTCAACCCAGCAATCATTTGTCAGTGTGCAGTTATTTGAAAGATAAAGACAGCTGTCTAAATTCACCTTTTCAGTTAAAATCCTCACTTTAAAAGGCAACTTTCCAGTTGACTACCGTAGGTCTTCCTGAGTACTGAGTCATCACTGGCTCGTTCTCAGTCACTGCAGAGCCTCATCTTGTCTCCCTAGTGGTCCCTCTTCCATCTAATCTGTCCCAATGCCACTGCCAGACAGATGTTGCATGCTAGACCTCCCACCTCCATGGGGCCTCAATGGTTTCTACAGCCCACTGCCTTTAAATGACGTTTTCCTGTTTTATTTATCCTAACTCTAGAGTCAATCTTATTTTCACCTGTGCCCCAAACTACACCCTGTGGTTTGTCTGTGTAAACCATGTCCATGTCCACTTTTTTTTTTTTTTTTTTCACGTTTGTTCATCCCTTGCCTGGAAAGTTCTCTTTTTTGGCTATTTACCTACTCCAATCCCACCTCCTCTGTGACACTCGTTTCTTCTAGTATACACTAACATTTCCCTTTTCGAATTATTGCATTTAGAAATTGGGAAATTTGGGAAAGACAGTTTAGCGTTAATTTTCCATTTCTTATCTGCCAACTGACCTAGTAGTGTTTTGTAGCGTTTTGGTTTTTTAAAGTGGGAATTGTCTACGTCGGTAGGAATGCTTTGTTACAACTCGAAGACACTGCAAAGTTAACTCACTGCATTCAGATATGTCTCGCCTCTGTCCGATCAAAAGCTGACCTACTGTGTGCTAGAGGCGATGGAATACAGAAACCACAGCCCCTGATGTCAAGGCTCCCGAAAACATTATATGATCTGTGCTTTGCATTTGTCACGAACACAGAGGGAACCTAACCCAATCAATGTCATAAATCCCCCAAATGGACTTCCTATCTCATTGGTAAAGGTTTCTTGGGAAAACGTGGTGTCCACAGGACCACTAGGTTAATGTGGGAAGTTGAGAGCGGAAACGCACAGGCTGTTTCCAAAACTGTCACCGCCACAGAAACGGCCCACCGGCCCAGAAAAACGTTAAACGCCTCTGCCATCATTTACCTACACAGTTCATTCCCAGTACGTAAAGCGCCACGACCCCAGCGTCCGCACGGCCGGCGGGGCGTAGACGGGGCTGACGCCCAGACGCGCCGTCTGCGAGGCGGAGCCAGGCTCGGGCCCCG